TCGACTTTAACAAATACATAAGATCTTGAATCAAATAAAAAATTCTTTCATGAAACTACGATCGTCAAGTAGATTTTTTACTGTAGAACATCTCCTACTTATATTGCTAATCTGATGATCCTTTGTAACCGCGAGGGTGTTTTCCTTCTAATTCATCTGATTTTATTCTAAATATTAATAACCTTTGCGATCTCGCATAATTTTCCACCAACGAGTTAATTTCACGACAATCCGTTAGATCTATTCTCATGAATTTAAACCTAAGAAAATTTTCCCCTGAAAAGGAGAGATAGTCGAAAAACCCTTGTCTTTCGAAAAAGATCGAAAACCCTTTCTTTCGAGGGAGAAAAGTTCCTCCTATAAGGAGGAAGCATTATTATAAACCTAGAAAAACTTAAACAATGGTTGGGGCTTTCCACCGATTAAATCAATAAAAGCCCCTTTAAAATCAACAATGGAGACTAGAGTTTAGAAAAGAGAACTATTTACACATTTTAAAATACATATAATTAAGGAAAAATAGTCATATAAAATATTCGTCTTAATATATATTTTGTTTATAAAGTTTCTGTTTGTTTAGTGAGCAAAATGTAGGTGTCTACACTTCCCCTCAAGTGCACGCAATAATAACCATTAGTGGTTAAAAAATATTAAAAAAAAAAAAGAAAAAAAAAAGTACAGATCAAAGCTTCGATAACAAAGACAAATTACATACTTCCATTAAAAAATGCAATAATAAAACCTTTATAATATTGTGTTGTTCATATAATAAAATTATTTCCCTTAAGTTTAAACATCAAAATTCATACTAATTAACATGGATAATCGCACTCACACCAAATAACTGGTGGTTCAATTGGTATAAAACATTGCACAGAAGCAGCAACTCCATGTCTCTTGTAACACTCATCTTTACAAGGAGCATCAAGTACTTTATCATGATCGCAAACAGGTGTAATCCATGGGAAATATTCCACACAATCTTTTCCTTCCACCATCATCATGTTCATGCTTGCTTTCTCTATACAAAATATTAATGTAATTAGTTCAAATTTAGAATCGAATTATAAAATCATAGGCATATTTTAAATTTATAATGTTTTCATTATTTAAGAAAAGTATGTAAAACCAAGTAGAATCGTAATTTGAATCATATGGTCATACATAAATAGTTAAATCGTTAGATTCTATGCTTTGAATTCTGATTTTTATTTCAATAATACATTAATGCAATAAATTACATGTTTTACTCCCATATAATTAGACAAACGACTACTCGTGAAATACAGAACTTTTTTTAAGGGGAAGAAAATAACAACTGTACTAGGTAATTTTGTTGTTTTTTTTAACAATGATAATTTTATTTTTTTTGCAAAATTAATTTTTTTTTAATTATATTCACAAAAATAAAGTACGAGTAGTTATCATTTACCAATGTGTCCATTCTTACATGAAATTGAATATGAATACTTGATTTTTTTTTTTTTTTTTTGACAAGGAATACTTGATATTTTAATTCCCTATAGTGGATAATTTTCTCAAGAAAAAATAATGATTTTAAGAATAAATATTAACTTCAATGTATCTTCAATATATAATATGCAATAGCTCAAATCTTTCATTATACTAATACTACTTGTAGTTATAGTAAGACAAAGACAAGGGAGTATACTTATTTAAGATGAAAATTTCGAGGCCGCCCCAGTTGATCTTCTTGATCAATTTACCAAACAAATCAAAATGGCAAAATTGTAAATAACATGAACAGTAACGTAAACAGTAGCCACATGCTATTACTATTTTGCCCCAGGTTTAATGATGAAAAATACACTTTTACCCTTACCAAACATATGCTATTACCATTTTGACCCAGGTTTAATGATGGAAAAGTCACTTTTACCTAAGCTTTAATGATGGAAAAGACACTTTTACCCCTTTGATTGAAAAAATAAATTGATCAACAAGATCAACTTGTATTTTGCGGAAAATTTCAGTGTAAAATTCAAATCTTTCATTAAACTAACACGAAGTAGTTTTTTGTGACATGTTTATAAATGTATTTTGAGCAATGTATACACAACAACAACAACAAAGCAATGATATGATTCTTGAATGGAAGAGTTGAAGATAATACCTGAAGCAATAATTATGAGAATCATAATTAACCAAAAGGATTTCCACATCTCGCTCTACTATTTTTTCGGTGAGAAAAAATTGGCTGAAAAAATTGTTACAATCGTCAAGAAAATTAATTTTTATCATAAACATCATATCATATATAAATAAAAATTTAAACAACTTTTTGGAAATTACATTGAAATATGTCAAAGCTTGAAAAATTTTTAAAAAAAATTAAATAACCTATAAATAATTATTGTCCATAATTAATGAGGGATTATATTCTAAAATTATTGTTAAGTGATATATATATGATTTGTTTCCTCTCATAGAACGATAGATATCGTAGAAGTACCCTATATATGGAAGTAAATAATTCGCTAATTTCATTCTACTCGTATATCTAACTTGGTGTGTCACACATATAATACTAGTTGATTTAATTTAAATGTGTCATTCACTGTATTATTAATAGTTGACTTTTTTTTTTTTTTTTTTTTTTTTTGGCAATTAAAGAAAATTTTATTAATCACCAAGAGCAAAACCGAAACACCAAAAACTAGCAACAGCTAGCAACCAAACAAACAAACAAGCCTGAAACATCATCCTACAATAAGAAAATTCCTTTGACTCTCATTACAACGACAAGCAACTCTAAAATAGACTTCCCTCAACAAAGCAGCAGCAGTCCTGTATCTTTGTTAAAAAGCAATCTCATTCCTCAATATCCAAATTGAATATAAACATTCCAGAAAGAACATCAAGTAGAGCCTATGCTTCCCACACTTAATAGCCCATTGCAACTCAGCAGCAAAGAAATTAGGGCCTCTCTGAAAGTTCAAAGACTGCAGAACAGCAGACCATACCTGAGAGGAGAAGCTACATTGAAAAAACAGGTGGTCAGAGCCACATAATTTGCACAAGGTAGCAGAGGTAATGCCCCAAACAGAAAGCCTATCAAGAGTAGGCAACCTGTTACAAATAGTTAGCCATGTAATAAACAGACTAGGGGGGAAGCCTGGTTATTACAGAGCACTCTACTCCAATTAACCTTACCATGAGCACCATGAAGATATTGATACGTTGTCCTAATAGAAAAGGTACCATTTTTTAGAAAGCAGCTCCAACCTCCAACATTAATAACCTCTTGCAGGCAGCCAAAAATATTCTTTAAAGCCCAAGACATATTGGCCTGACTAGCCTCAGACAAATCTTTACCTCGAACATAGTAAGCATCCACCCACCTTACCCACAATTTATCTTTTTTGCCGGAAATAGCCCATAAGAGCTTACAGACAGCAGCTTTATTCCAAAGCTCCATATCCTTCACATTCCAACCAACAGCTACCCTAGGAAGACAAAGATTATGCCAAGAAACCAAGGCTTTCTTTGACATCTCAATACCTCCAGTCCAAAGAAACAGCCTACAAAACTTCTGAATTTCCTTGATAGCTTTTTTTGGGATGATAAAAATCTGGCTCCAATAAGACTGAAGGCTTAGCAAAATCACTTTAATCAACTGAAGTCTTCCTGCATAAGACAGAAACCGAGTAGTCCATGTTATAAACGGAATTGCACAAATAAAATAGTAAGAACAATGTTACCGAGAATAAGACTGAGTCGCGGACTATGTCGCTCTCTTTAGAACATTCGCGGCACTGCCTCAAACTTGTGCAAGCAGCTCGTACCAAACCGGATGCCCCCAGGATAAAACAGTCTTTCACAAGTATAAAATACCGGCGGTTTTGCACCGAACCACCGGACAACGAAACACCAGAAAATCAGAAAGAAACTGCTCGACTGTTTTGAGAGGAAGAGAAAATATATTTTGCAAAGTGGTTTTCTGTATTTTTTTCGTGTATTTAAAAACAAAGCTGGAACCGTCCTTTTATAGGTAAAGATACGTAACAGCTTAAGCATGAAAACGGGAGAAAGATTAGCAACGTTTACTGCAATTAGTGTATCCGTTAAGCAAGAATCAAGGCATTAAATCAGTGTAACGGTGCAACGTTTAGCAGTAAAACAGCAACGAGAATCAAGCAATGTAACGGTAAAATTTAAACCAAAACAGTAAAACGTTTTGTAACTGAATATTAATCAAACCGGTAACAAAAATTAAGTTTGTTTAATAACCCAAACCCGACCCGACCCGACCCAGCCCAGCCCGGCTCGGCTCGGTTCGGCGCGCGTGTGTGTGATATATGGTTTACCATATAGGTCCTCCCTCTCCACAAAATGTGGGTAGCCCAAGGGCCACACCCCTTTAGCCCACTCTCTATATTATAAAGAGAGTAAAACTCTCATTTCCCACCAATGTGGGACTTTGAGTTTTTTCACAAAATTCACACACTACACACTTGTTGTTCCAACAATCCCCCACTTGAATTTTTTGAAAACATTTTCGAGCAGAATCCATACATATATAGGTTGCGCATAAACAGAAGTGTTTTTCAACTTGAACTTCTACGTAGTGAGTACGATTCAGATTCAACAAGGGTGACTCGAAGTTTTGAACCCTATCTCTGACAAAGTACCACACACAACCTACTCTTGGTGTTGTTCTAGACCCGTGCTATTTCGGCCATGCACGTCTATCCCAGTGTAGTGAATGCTCTAGAAATGCTGCCACACATTTCATAGGAAGCGGCCTAACTTCCACATTCACATAGGTGAATCTATCAAGAGTACTCCTGTAGCTTGGTACTCCACTCCAAATTGGAGTATAGATTTCATTAAGAGTTCCTATTAACTCATCCTTGATCGCTTCAGGAAATTATGTCTTTTGAACATATTCAACTCATATCACACCATAACTTGTTATTACCCTTTGAACCTATTTCTTGGGATCTCCAGTTCATAGGTTGGGTTACCATTATTGTGGTTCATTTCAATGGCAATAGTCCCATTTTCTTAGAGGAAAAATGGACTTTCTCCCTAGCTAATCCTTTCGTCAAAGGATCAGCCAAGTTATTCTCAGTGCGTACGTGATCCACTCTAACAGCTCCGATAGAGAGATATTCTCTCACAGTGTTGTGCTTACGACGTATTTGTCGTCTCTTACCGTTGTAATAACGGTTCTGAACTTTTGCAATAGCCGCGGTACTATCGCAATGGATCAAGACAGCCGGTAATGGCTTTTCCCATAGGGGAATTTCACCTAGCAGGCCTCTTAACCAACCTGCTTCTTCACTAGCCGTAGCTAGTGCTATCATTTCTGACTCCATGGTGGACTGAGCCAAAATAGTCTGTTTCTTAGACTTCCAAGATACAGCTCCACCGGCTATAGAAAAAATATATCCACTAGTAGCCTTAGAGTCATCTGATAAGGTGTTCCAGTCAGCATCACTATAGCCTTCTAGTACAGCTGGAAACCTTTCATAATGCAACCCTAGGTTCATGTTCCTCTTAAGGTATCTCATGACCCTTTCAATAGCATGCCAATGCTCATTACCAGGACAACTAGTAAACCTGCCTAACAATCCCACGACATAGGCAATGTCGGGTCTAGTACAATCAGTGGCATACCGAAGGCTGCCAATGATGCTCGCATAATCAGATTGCCTTACGGCATCACCAGTGTTCTTAAATAATTTAACACTGGAGTCATAAGGTGTATTAGCAGGTTTACAGTCAAAGTAACCATATTTCTTTAGGATTTTCTCAATTTTATGAGATTGATCCAAAGAAACTCCATTTTTTGTCCTAGTAATCTTAATTCCAAGGATTACATTAGCCTCTCCTAGGTCTTTCATGTCAAACTCAGCATTCAACAATAGCTTTACATCATTCACAGCATGAATGTTCGAGCCAAAAATTAACAAGTCATCCACATATAGACAAATTATAGTGCATATGTCATTCTCAAATTTTACATATATGCATTTGTCACTACCATTTATCTTAAAACCATGTGAGATGACTAAGTTATCAAATTTTTCATGCCATTGTTTAGGTGCTTGTTTGAGACCATAAAGAGATTTATCTAGCTTACATACCAGATGCTCTTTTCCTTGAACAACGAATCCTTCCGGTTGATCCATGTAGATTTCTTCTTCCAATTCACCGTTCAAGAATGCAGTCTTTACATCCATCTGATGTACTACAAGATTAAAAACAGAAGCAAGAGATATTAGTACTCTAATAGATGTTACTCTAGTTACAGGTGAATAGGTATCAAAGAAATCAACATTCTCCCTCTGTCTGTAGCCTTTAGCTACCAAACGGGCTTTGAACTTATCAACGGTCCCATCAACTTTCAGCTTTCTTTTTAGGACCCATTTGCAACCAATTGACTTGCAGCCTGGTGGAAACTCAGTTAGATGCCAAGTTTGATTAGACTCAAGTGAGTTCATTTCATCGTTCACGGCTTCTTGCCATAAATCTGCATCAACTGAGGTTAGAGCTTATTGGAGGGTAGAAGGATCCTCCTCTACATTAAGAACTACAAAGTCTGGGCCGAAGTCTTTTGCTACTCTAGCCCGCTTGCTCTTTCTTAGTTCGGGTTCAGCATCCAATTCTTGTGAGTTAGACCTGACTTTAGGAATAATAGAGGTGGACGAACCCCCACTATTTCTAGATTTAAAAGGAAACCTGTCCTCATAAAAATCAACATCATTAGATTCAATAATTACACGAGCATTTAAATCAAAGAATCTATATGCCTTACTGTTAATAGCATATCCAATGAATACACATTCATAAGCTCTACTAGCTAATTTAACTCTTTTAGGATCAGGAATCCTAACATATGCTAGACAACCCCAAGTTCTGAAATAAGAAATGTTAGGTCGTTTATTACGAAGTATTTCATAGGGAGAAACCTTACTCTTAGTCTTTGGAATACGGTTTAAGACATAACAAACAGTTAGTAGAATTTCACCCCACCAATGATCAGCAGCACCAGAATATAAGGAAATAGCAACTACTAAATCTGTAAAGGTCCTGTTTTTCCTTTCAGCCTTTCCATTCATTTCTGGGGAATAAGGAGTTGTCCTTTCATGTATGATACCATGTGAATTATAAAATTCTACAAAAGCATCAGTATCATACTCAGTTCCACGATCACTTCGTAATCTTTTTATTTTCTTGTTAAACTGATTCTCAAACTCTGTTATAAACAACTTAAACATTTCAAAAGCATCACTCTTATTTTTCATCAAATAAATACAAGTATAATCAGAACAATCATCAATAAAGGTGATAAAGTATCGTTGTCCATTTCTGGTCAACGTTCCATTTAGTTCACAAATATCCGAATGAATTAAGTCTAATGGTTCTGAGTTTCTAATCACTGATTTATGAGGTGTTTTTGTAATCTTATCCTGACTACAAGAATCACATTTGTCAAAGTCATTGAGAGAGATATTTGAAATAAGGCCTAAATTGCTCATATTTTTTATGAGTCTTTTGTTCACATGACAAAGTCTAGTATGCTAAACATTAATAGTAGAACACAACATATAAGCGGAATTAGAAATTTTATTAACTTCAACATTCAGTTTAAACATGCCATCAGTAGCATATCCTTTTCCTACAAATATTCCATTCTTAGTTAAAGTAAACAAATCAGAACCTATGGTTTGTATAAAACCAGCCTTATTAAGCAAAAAACCAGAAACTAAATTCTTCCTCATTTCCGGAGTGTGTAACACATCTTTCAGAATGAGAGTCCTGCCAGAAGTAAACTTCAACTCAACATTTCCAACACCAGCAATGTTAGTGGAATGGGAATCACCCAACAGTACTTTCTTATCATCGGTCTTTTCAGTGTATGTTTTAAACATTCGACGATCATAACAGACATGGCGTGTGGCACCAGTGTATATCCACCACCCATCTGATCCACCAGTAAGGTTGATCTCAGTAATCATAGCCACAAAAGGCTCTTCAATCATGCTAGCCTGCGCAGGCACAGGGTTAGGCATGTTCCTGCACTTTCGTGCCATATGGCCTGGTTTTCCACACCGATAGCACAGAAATTGACCAGTACCATTCTTAGGGGGTTGAGACTGTTGTCTTCCATTGTTCTTTTGAACATTCGGTTTATTGAAGTTATTCTTCCGGTTCTGAGGTTTGAAATTCTTACCAGCAGGTTTAAGTACTGCAGCAGATCGCCTAGGAGCATTATTAGCAGAGATTTGTAAAATCTCTTCCTTTAGATCCTGTTTTCTGGATTCTTCTTCTATACGTAGCCGAGTGATCAAACTCTCTAAGGAGAATTCCTTAGTCTTATGCCTGAGATTATTTTTGAAATCTTTCTAGGAAGGAGGCAGCTTGTCAATAATAATAGCAATTTGAAATTGTTCATCAAGGGCCATACCTTCGGAAATTATCTCATGGGCAATTTTCTGAAGGTCGTGAGACTGCACTTCCACGGACTTATCATCAGTCATCTGGAATTTTAGGTACCTACTGACAGCATACTTTTTGGCACCTGCTTCTTCAGTATCATACTTTTTTTGTAGGGCATCCCACAAATCCTTAGCAGTATTTTCCATATTATAATAGTCATAGAGGTTATCAGACAGACCATTAAGTATATAGTTTTTGCACATGAAATCAGTTTCATTCCAGGTTTCGATTTCACTATTCAAGTAAGCTAATTCATCTTCAGGAGCATTATCAGGAATAAATGGCCGAGGGGCTGTTAAGGCAGAATTAACCTTTTTGACAGTTAAGAAAAATTGCATTTTCTGTTTCCATCTTTTAAAGTGAGCGCCCTCAAAACGAAAGGGCTTGTTAAGGTCAGCAGACATAGTCATTTCTTCGGTAGACATAGTGTTCACGAAGGCAGAAACGATTGTTCTAAAATTGTTATAAACGGAATTGCACAAATAAAATAGTAAGAACAATGTTACCGAGAATAAGACTGAGTCGCGGACTATGTCTCTCTCTTTAGAACATTCGCGGCACTGCCTCAAACTTGTGCAAGCAGCTCGTACCAAACCGGATGCCCCCAGGATAAAACAGTCTTTCACAAGTATAAAATACCGGCGGTTTTGCACCGAACCACCGGACAACGAAACACCAGAAAATCAGAAAGAAACTGCTCGACTGTTTTGAGAGGAAGAGAAAATATATTTTGCAAAGTGGTTTTCTGTATTTTTTTCGTGTATTTAAAAACAAAGCTGGAACCGTCCTTTTATAGGTAAAGATACGTAACAGCTTAAGCATGAAAACGGGAGAAAGATTAGCAACGTTTACTGCAATTAGTGTATCCGTTAAGCAAGAATCAAGGCATTAAATCAGTGTAACGGTGCAACGTTTAGCAGTAAAACAGCAACGAGAATCAAGCAATGTAACGGAAAAATTTAAACCAAAACAGTAAAACGTTTTGTAACTGAATATTAATCAAACCGGTAACAAAAATTAAGTTTGTTTAATAACCCAAACCCAAACCCGACCCGACCCAGCCCAGCCCGACTCGGCTCGGTTCGGCGCGCGTGTGTGTGATATATGGTTTACCATATAGGTCCTCCCTCTCCACAAAATGTGGATAGCCCAAGGGCCACACCCCTTTAGCCCACTCTCTATATTATAAAGAGAGTAAAACTCTCATTTCCCACCAATGTGGGACTTTGAGTTTTTTCACAAAATTCACACACTACACACTTGTTGTTCCAACAGTCCAAGATTTGGCTCTGGAGATCACTCTCTCAATGAGAGGCTTGCAATCAACATAAGAAAGCTTCTTTGTAGCAAGAGGGACACCAAGATTCCTAAAGGGGAAGGAACCCTTGGGAATTTTCAAATTATCAATAATTTGCTGCTGAGTGAACAAATCAACACCCCCAAAATAAACATTACTCTTGTCCAAATTAGCCTCCAAACCCAGAAGAACAAGAGAATTTATTGAAAGCTTGAAAAAGCATGTTTGCAGACAAAAGATCGGCTCTACAAAACATCAAGAGGTCATCTGCAAACATAAGATGAGTGATACCAAGCTTATTATTCTGGAATATTCATATTCCTTTTTATTTTATTTTTTTTTTGAAAAAATTCATATTTATTATTCTCTCCGTTTTATAATGTTTGATCAATATATAGTAATACACTCTTCTTTGTTTAATTGCTCCGTTTTTGTTATATTGCACTAATTTTCTTTTTGGAAGTTTGCATGTTGATTGCACAATTTCCTTATTTGGCATGATTTTTTTTCACTTTTTGGTGTGTTCACACTCAAAATTTCATACTTACTCTTGTTTACATGCGATAACAAAGTAACAATTATTATTATCCCACCTTTTCTATCTCACATTTATTTTTTGTTTTTTTTTTTTTTCATACGAGCACTTTTGACATACTCTATTTTTTACAATTTTTCTTAAATCTTGTGTCCATACCAAAGGATGCAATGAGGAAGTAAATTTTGTTTCATCAAAAATATATAATATAATTTTTAAAAAATGAACTTAACGTAAATTTGTTTCATCATTCTTTGGTTAAATTAAAGTTGCTTATTAATTATTTTCACAAATTCTTAATTAAGGCAGACTTTTATTAAGTTATTGTAAGACAGGTTAAATTACCTATATATACTACAAAAGTTACCATTTTTGTAACATAAATTTTACCCTTAAAAACACTTATAATGTATTAAATTAATCATATTAGTCTTCATAGCATGTATCAATTAGAAATTACAAGTTACCCTTAAAGGGATTAAAGTTTCCATAAAAATTGTTAAAGTTACCCTCGAATTGACCGTCTTATAATCATATTAATAAAAGGCTCTATTTACTTCACCTTGAAATATAATATTCAATAAAAAAAATAAAAAAAAATATAAAATAAATAAAATCAGTTTAGTAAAAATAAGTTCAGTTCAGTGAAAATAAGTTTAGTTTAATAAAAATAAGTTTAGATTGTTGAAATTAATATAAGCACTAGTGTCACTTGCTACATGTTGAAAAACACTTTGATCAATGTATTGCTTAATCAAACCAACAACCTTTTGAATAAACAACTTCCAAGAAGCATCATTCTTGCCACTATGTTTAGCCTCATTCAAGGTTGGTTCATGCAAATCCTTGATATAAAGGATACCTTCCATCCCTGGTTTCCATATTGAGTAATTACTAGAATTTAAGTAAATCATTCCATGCACACCCTTTTCATGCATTCTTCAACAACACAAAAAATACAACAATAAAACCTAGGCTCCATACCACTTTGTCAGGAAAGATGCACACACAATACAGAATCATAGCGGAAGTAAAACAATCTCTTTTTCTCTAATGTGTTGTAAAATGGGCAAACACTACCAAACTTGAGCAAACACAATATGGACAATAACAAGCAATTCTAAATAGCCCAAATGCAATACAATAAAGCACACCAAGATATACGGGAAACCAAATTTGGGAAAAACCCACACGTACGTAAGCTCTTCCACTAATCAATAAAAATAAACGTACACCAAATTATCTTTCTCTAAACAATGTTAGAGGCTCTAACACCAAACCATGTTTGGAACAAAATATTCTCCATATACATTCTTAACAAGTGGATAACTCAACTATGGAGAGATAAGGGCTAAATAGAACTTACCAACAACCTGTGCACAAAGTTATAATCCAACCGTTGAATATGTAGCATGGGATAGCAGGAAATGAGTCCAAGTTTGACATCAATCGGCTTCCGTTAGTATCTTGATCGGATGGAAACACCTGACAACTTATGTTTTTTTTTTTTTTTTTTTTTTCACCTTCCCTTTTTTTTATAAACATAATGTCCAATATATAGAACATTGCAAGAGGATGCAATTATGTCATCATCAATCAAGATGCCAGAAACATACATAATCTAGAATGCATGTCAAGAGAACGTAAATTATTCAATTTAATTATTGGAACAAACTAGGTATTAGGGGTGAGCATGGATCGGATATTCGTATCTGAAAAACTAGTTATTTGATATTTGTATCCGATCTGAAATTTTTCAGATTCCCGATAACCGGATATCCGAAAATTTCGGATCGGATAGTTCGGATATCCAGTACCTGAATTTTTTTTTTTTTTTTTTTTTTGAAACACCAACCCTTTAAGTTTTAATAATTTGGTAAATACTAATGTAATGGAAAAAATAATTTATTTTTAAAGGCAAATATGTAATGATATCCTAATGCAATTTCACATAACACAATATTTTCCATTAGAGAACTGGTAATTCAATTCTTAAAGTACATCAAAATACAACTTCTTTTAGTAAAATACATTCAGACTGATCTAGAACCTTCAAATTCTAAATAATAATAAATAAAAAAAATCAAATTCACCAAATTATAATCAACCAAATGACGCTCCACCTTCGCGAACTCGCAATGGTTCTAATTGTAATGGTGTTTAATTAGTGGAACTCCCGAAGGTTAAGAACCATCTTTGACGACGGTGAGCAGCTAATGGAGTGAAAACATACCGACTCGATGAGGTGCTAAGCCGGGCGTGAAGGCCGAATGAGAACCTGAGATCTGATAGGTTGAGAGTGAGGTGAGGAGAGGAGAGAGAAAGTTAGGGTTGAATACTTGAATGGTTGTCTTGGTTGAGGAGATCTGAGAAAATTGAGATTTAATTGCTTGAGAATTTGAGATGAGGAAAGGAGAGAGAATCTGAGAAAGCTAGAGAGAGAGAAAGAGAAGAGAAAGAGAGGCGGGTGGGGGCGTGGGGACTCAATTGTTAGGGTTTGGTAGTTTTTATATGATGTAAAAATTAATATGGAGTACTGTAATATCGGAGTAATGAGTGATTTCTTCAGATTTTTAATCGGATATCCGATCCAATTTCCGGTATCCGAATTTTTTTCGGATATTTGATATCCGACTTTTTAATATCGGATATCCGATCCTCGGATCGGATATCCATAATTTTCGGATCGGATGCGGATCGAATTATCGGATTTTTAGATAGTTTTGCTCGGCCCTAGGCATTGCATTTCTTTTTAAATCAATGTCGCATTGCCAAATGACCCAAATACAGTAATCTTTGCAATGATTCAACTCAATCTTCAGACAAAAAATTGAGTTTTAATGTTACACAACAAAACCGACATGTACACTAATAACTAAATACTACAACCACACCCTACATCACATAATTACATTATATCCATCGAATATATTCTTTGATCCTTGTGTATAGTTCATTCCTGATCAATGATGCTAGACGGCTAGAGTCTTGGTTTGAGAACTGAGTCGCTATTGGATGCAGCGGAACAACTAGAAAATCAAACCAAAACCATTCTTTGACCTTAAACGGCCGTTGCAGTAGGAATGGCATTTAATTGTCTAACCTTCTTGGGTTCTGCAGTTAAGGTAGAATTGTTGTGTTTCAAAATTTCTTTGGGTATGATGTCAATGAATGCCAAATGGTTCTTCATCTCGTGTCATTGCACCTCTTCAAAAAATTCTTCCTCCTGCTGTGGCAAGGTTGCGTTTCTTGCGTTAAAAGGGCTTGCCTGAACAATCCCCTCAGCCATCAAAGGCCGAACAACCTGCGAATTACAAAATTATAATGCACAATCATCCAAAAAGAAAAAAAAAAACCACCAAGCAGATAATATTATCCTCATTTGTACTTTGTGGGTGTTGTTTAGAGAGAATAGAATGATCACGATGCATTTCAGGCTTCATATTAGCAAAAGTGAAATTGAGAACAAGACTAAATGGTTGGCAGAAACTTCATGAACAATATTATAAACAGCGCACAAATAGCTGGGAATTCAAGAACAATCACCTAGGGACAACTTAAGGTTTTTAAACATCGAATTCAAATATTACAAGGCTCTTCAGATGCCCTAACATACTCAGAGGTGATTCTACATAATCTACAACTATAGTGCAATGAAGAAAAAATAGTGCATAAAAAGACATGCCTAGGTGCTGAGGCATCAAGGTAATAGCGTTGAAGCAATTTTTTTGGGGCTAGGCAAAGCAATCTCAACGACGCACAGCAGAGGCGCACAGCTTTTATATTTCACCAAAATTTTATATACTTATTCAATGAAGTGCACTGAGGCCCAAAAAGACGCAGAAGGATCCTTAGCACCTCAGTGAGCCATAAGGCTCAAGCGCTCAACACACTGTTCGCAGAAATGAAACAAGATTGAAAAATCCTAATCCAAAGTAAAGATTTCATAAATTGTTGCAAAATTTATAAGAACTACTCTATGGTAGATGGAAATTTTGAAAATATTCATCTGCCAAGGGAAAATAATAGTCAAAAGGTAATCAAGCTGAAGAAAACATGTAAATCCCAGCAGTGAATATCATAATACACTTAAGGAATGACAGCATCAAGTAACCAAAAGACAAACTAAAACTTAATCTGAATTTTCTTTAGACGTGGATTTTTAACATCCACTGTCATAAGGACTCCAGATGGCAAGTTTTATATCCTCCTCAACTTCAGAGAACAAGCAAAAAAGAAGCACAGACAATATGTAGTGAATATGGTACTAGGAAACAAACCTGCTCAATCTCATCAGACAACTGAGGGTTCTCCCTCAAGAATTGCAAAGCTCTGTCTCTTCCTTGTCCCAATCTTTTGCAAAAATGTCAGTAATCAGGTAGTCAGCAAATCATAAACCATCCATAATTAAGACAATTTACATTTTTATTACCTCCAAGAAGTTCATTCAATCAGTAAAATGTTGCATGTCTAGTGAACTGCTTATTTTTTGTAACGTTTAACATAATTCAAATGTAAAACATGTTTGTAAAACAATCATTGTGTCTTCTTCGAAATTTGATCAACCTAAAGTCTACAATGATGGACCAATTAATTTTTAAATTTGTATCCTCAATTAGCTAATCATCAGAAATTACTTACAGCACAAATGAAGGTAACTTTAACTTGGCTATAAATTGGCTTGATTTGAGTTCAATTAAAATTAAACAAACACTGTACTACTCAAAAGGTTGAGCTAAACTAAAGAGCAATAGATGAGCTTCAGATTGCAATGTGGCTGCACCTTTGATCCCTGTAGCTATACCATGAACCCTTCTTTGCCACAACATCTAATATTTCGGCACAATCCAAAATGCAACCCTGCATAATCAAGATCGTCAAAAATACAATAATTTGCACATATCTTTGTATGACAAAAATAGTGGGAGAAATATTATTGTGATACTAACCAACTTACTCACGCCCTCACCAAATATAATCTCAAACTCAGCTTGTTTGTATGGCCTTGACACCTGTAACAAATGCACAAATGTTCAGAAGATCACTTGTTCAAAATCTTCCAGCAGAAAAAAATAAATCTTAGCTACTTTAAAACATGTATCTGGAAGAATTAAATTCATTGACATCCAGATAATAGATATACCCAACTTGAACATACAAAGAACAGTGTTCATCCTTTTGCATTACATTAGTCGCAAATCAAGAAAAATTAGTAGCTGAGATGAAGTTGCTTGAAAAGGATCTTCAATGTTTTAGAGCTTCATAAAGCAGCTTACCTTTCCTTTTCTATTATAATTATGCTGGAATAATGAATAGAGAATGGAGAAACCAAGAGATACTATGTAGTTAACTCGAGAATTTAAATTTTATAAAATTAGAAACAAATAAATCAAATACATATACATATGCAGGAGGCCTTTTCCGGAACATTGGAAGTGTCACATATGATTGCTATGTCACAATTATTTAAAAAAAAATTAGAAAATAAATAACGTAAATAAAAGTCGGAATTGAAGATGACCATAATATGTAAATTAAGAAATCGTGTTTCTACATAATTCCAAATTTCATAATCTTCATACCATTGGAAAGAGCTCCAGCTTCAAATAAGATCAATTTATCATAAATTATACAACCTGTAAATTTAAGGTTATCTTGAAGACAAAAGGCGATGCAACAAAAGTATATTTGTTCTTCATTCTGTTAGTCAGGTGCATTGCATGGGCTTAGACTGGTAATGGTAATAAAATAAATAAATAACTGCTTACACTATGATACTAGTGAGTTTGTATATCAAGGGGTCAACATATAGTAGTTTTGCACGACAAGATTTCTGAGAAGATAAGTTTGAATTTTATAGGAAACAACCATAAATTTTACGTTTATTTACACATATGATGCTTTTACTTCTGCTGACAAAATTTTTGTAGGAGTTGCTGGACTAGAACTAAAGAAACTAAGGCCAGTCAGGTTAACACATGATGCTAGGAGGTTCTTACTGGGGCTTATTTCGAAATTATATGTTTCACTATACATGGCAAATATATGCCGCATGATTTATATCATCAAGAAGTACAGGTACCAAGTGCCAAGAACCAAGTTCCAATGCTTCAGCTCTTTGTTTGAAAACATGAGGTGCTTCAGGAGGTAAGAGATCCCAGGAGCCAAAACGTGGAATAAGTACAGGGCAAGAGTGTCATGAAACAGCAGCTTTTACACACTCAACAAAGGCTGCTTTTAGAGAGGGGAGAAAGAGAAAATTGAACAAATAACAAGAAGAATGAAGAAAAGAAGTTGTAACACAGCCTCTTCTACACATCCTTACTGGCTCCTCTTATCAAGAATTTAAGAATGGCAAACCTACTCCCAGAATTCTTTTAAGTGACCTAAGGAATGCTTCTCAGTGGACTAACTTCAGCTTGATGTGCCCAAGTTGTTTCAGAATTTCAGTTGAAGTCATAGAACTATAAGTTTTCGACACCTCATAAAAATGTTTTGGTGATTAATCTGCAACCTCTCTGATGCTTGTATTCCCTCTTTATAGTGATTTTGGTTTATATGATCAGATGAAAAGAAGGTTTAAAAATCGAAGGACTTGAGAAATTTACCTTGCTCTTTTGCACCCTAACACGGACCCGTAACCCAATATCTTCATCTCCTTTGACCTGTAAGAGGAATTTATAAGAAGGGCTCTGTATTTCCATACTAGACATAATTTAGTAGAATGTCTGAATAGATATAGAGGGGAAATTCTTACAGATTTAACTTTGCCAATAGAACGTATCTCAAGGCGAAGTGATGCAAAGAACTTCAAGGCAATTCCACCACTAGTCACTTCAGGATTTCCATAATACACGCCAATCTTAAAATTTTCAAAACAAAAAAATTGCCTGAGAACATAAGTGATTGTTGACTACAACAGTATACACAGATAATAATAATAATAATAATAATAATAATAATAATAATAATAATAATAATAATAATAATAATAATAATAATAATAATAATAATAAACCACATGTAAGGTGCACCTGTCTTTAGAGCTTAGAAGCTCTATTAGGATCCAACCTTGACAGGCCTAATCATAGCCTCATGAGACAAATGGTGCAACCTTATCCAGTGATTACAACGAGATTATTTGCATCAGAAACTAGTTTGAAAAGAGAACTACAGCATAGTGATGTATTGGTGGAGGACAGTGCAGTGGTACAACCAAAGCTGCAATTTCATCATAAAATCAATTGAATTATCCCATTTTCCCTTGCTATTGGTGACTATTGGTTATTGACTTCGTTGCATATGTATTGTAACTTTGTAAGTTCGCACACACAACAACAAAAAAAACCCCTCAAATTATCAAGATTGACAGTCTTTCCATAAATTAACGCCAATTGACAGATTGTATAATGTCTATAAGATGTCCATAAAAAGTGGCAAAAACCAATCTTATCAAATACCTTGTGTCGTATCTGATTCAAAAAAATGAGAGTACAGCCTGCTTTTGATGCATTTCCAGACATTTTACGTAAAGCTTGGCTCATAAGGCGTGCCTGCAAGCCCATTTGCTGCATTCCAATCTCTCCCTAAAAAAATAAGAAAGATGAAAAGTCATACAGAAAATTCGGCACTCTGCAGTAATAAACTAAAAACCACACGAAGATGGTGAGCAAGAAATAAAATATACCTCTATTTCAGCTCGAGGAGTGAGGGCTGAAACAGAATCTATACAAATCAGGTCTATTGCACCAGATCTGCACATGCGATCTGCAACTGCAGCAAAGAGAAGTCGATTATGTTACAAATGATACAAATCAAAACAGTATTACCTCCATTCAGCACTTAAGGGACCATCAAAGACTTAAATTTCCAAAGCAAGGCAAAAACAGAGCATTGTACAGTTAGATAAAGCCATACAAAACTTAAAGTTAAAACAAAATTTTTCCTAGAAGAGAACACAAACCTGAAAGAACCTAAGGCTCCATTTGTATGGAAGGTAAACATTTTTCGGGAAATGACTCCATGGACAATAATTTCCAGGAAAATATAACTATTGTTCTCACAAAGTTATACTAACATAAACCAAAACTTGTTTAAATTTACGGTTTTTTCATTATATACCCCTGAGTTGTAATAAAAATTCAGCATATACCCCTAATGACAACAATATGAGTGGAATTTGGTTAATTATGCATCGAAATCACCTTAAATCTCTCTCCCCCATCCCTGAAACCACTCCTCTCCTTTCTCCAACCCCCGAAATCACTCCAGTCTCCATAACTATATCCGTATGATTGATTTTGAGGATGAGAAAAGAAAATTTGGGGTGGTTTTTAGGGGTGGAAAAAAGGAATATGGTGGTTTCAGGGGCAGGGGAATGTATTTAGGGTGGTTTTGGGTCATAATGAACCCTAATGACAAACGAACACAGCAATCATTAACTATCAAGGGTATATGGTGTATTTTTGTGAAAACTCGGGGGTTTATGATGAATTTAAAAAAGTTTAAGGGTATATGGTGAATAAACAAAAAAACTCGAGGGTATATGGTAAAAAACCGTTAAATTTATTACCTTATACGTTGTCATCAAAATTTTAAGGATTCAACATCTTTAGGCCATAGAGTTACAAGATAAAAAAGGAAGGGTAGTTAGTGCTTTCTCACAAAGTGATCTTTGAATAATATGCAAACCAATAAGTAACCACCTTTTGTCTTTGGGCCACACTAGACCCGGTTATTTGGGCACGTCAGGGTCGGTGCAGGTCAATTGCGGGTTGGATCAAAGACGGTCATATTTTATAGGGCCAACAGCGGATCAGGCCAATGCGGGTCGAGAATCAATAATGGGCCAGCCAACAAACTATTAATTAAAATAAATATTGGACAAGGCCATTATTTAGTATATATGAATACGAAAATATTTATGTAATTTTTTTTACATTATCACCCCGAGGGTGCACCGGTTTGGAGGAGGAAGATTTATGTTGATGACTACACGAAATAATCACTTTAAGTTCATGTAGCCGACCCCACTGATGGGATTAAGGCTTTGATTGATTGATTGATATCTACTTTCTTTATCTATTTTGTCTATTAAATTGGATAAAACATTTTGGTCTTATATTGACCCTACCCAACAAGGGTCTTATCCATTAAAGGCCATATCCATTAAGAGCCCATTATGCTAAGCCCTGGCCCTATCATCATTGGGTTATCCTATCCAACAACCAAGTTTAGGCCATAACACATAGAGTGGCATAACATCAAAAGACCCTAAATATTATCCCCAACCTTGCACTAGTGCCACCAAGGGCCATTGTCTCATACGCTTCTTATTGCCACACTCATTCGTATATGCAATTGTGCATATTTAATTGCCATACTTCACTGAACCACTTAGTCATCATCTATAGCATATTCCAGCTCAACAAGAAACAAGGATTGATTCCTCAATAAATGACATAAGTAAATTATTACATCTCCTTTGAATTTCAAAAATCACTATTTATGGTGTTGAGTTGCCATCTTAATTTGTTTAGATCATATAATTGCATTTTAAAGAGAGAATTTCCAATTGAGAAATATGCATATAAATACATATTGAGTTAATAAATTGTAGAGTAGACCAACAATATAAACCCTAGTATAAGATCCCAAAAAAGTACCAACCATCCCAAAGATAAATAACTGGTATGATGAGAAAATGGAAGCATTAAAAATCTACACTGTTTATAACAAGAAAATTCAAGACATGTTAATTTCTCAAACCTACTAAAATTATAATCCTAGAAGTTTTAAGTGTAACTCCATAATTAAGATTTCTCAAGGTTCAATCTTTTGTGTTTTACACTTAAACTATAAGTGTTAGAAAAGAAAGGCAGAAATCATTACAAAGCTAGAGGAGGTAGCAAATCAGGGTAACCAGAGTCTTGGCCGTGTCTTGTTAAGGCAATTGCTTCCTTATTTACTAAGCAAGAGATATTAATGAATATTTAGGCAGAAGCTGAATGCACTTCTAGACTTGACCTATCAACCAAAACTCATACACAATGCTTCTCCAAGGAACACAATAATAAGAGGTGACAATTGGTATTTTGGGATGCAATATCTTACTCTCTAATGCCATCTCCCCATTATCAGGCTGGCAAACAATTAAATTTTCAACATCAACTCCCAAAGACTTAGAATATGCTGCATCAAATGCATGCTCTGCATCAACAAGCATTGCGTTTCCTCCCAGCTTCTGAAAAATACAAATAAAATAAAATAAAAATAAACAAATAGATAAATAAATAAAATAAATAAATCAATATCCTGAATAGCTTGTAACATGTGCTCTGTCCCATAAATTATAATTTGAATTGAAAATTATAAGAAACTCATATGCCACCTGAATTTCTGCAATTGCATGTAAAGCAAGTGTCGTCTTCCCACTACTTTCAGGTCCATATACCTGGGAATAAACCACAGATATTAAAAGGTATTCAATAACAAACAAAAACAAAATTTATCTCTATTTCTTCAAAAATTAATTTCCAACCGCATTTTTATCACTATAAAAGCTACGTAGTTTTTAATACTCTTGGTAATCTAAATTTTTCCTATGAAAAAAAGAAAGAAAAAAAAGATAATGCAAAAGGCAGAAAAAGAAATAAAGGAGCAGGTTCTTTCTGAGATCCGTTTAAGTAGAGAGGTGTTTCCCAATACAAGGTTTCAGTCTGAAATCAGAGAGGCAGATTGCAAACACATCTAAAACGAATAAGGAATCTAATCAAAATCAAAAGGTTTTTTCTATGTTTTAAGATACTGAACTTTTTACATGGAAATCGTCCTTCTAAGTGCAAAGACCCAATCAACTTTTCTGATCCAAATATCCAATTAGTTGCATCAAAGCAAACATCAATGTTGGAAGAAAAAACTACACAGAATTTTTTATTACCAACTTACCTGAACTTGGGTACAGGTATCAGATACAGCACATGCCCAAGTGTCTGATTCGTCAAGATCCAATATATAGTAACAGAAATAGAATTCGACCCAAATTTAAAGACAAGTCATTTATTAAATATACACCCTCCATCCCACTAGAAAAAAGGGGGCTTTTAAAAGTTTATAAAGAGGATCAAAGGGACTTGTCTCTTTTCATGTATCGTGTCCAAAGTATCAAACTTTATATTAGAATTTTAAGGTTTAGATTGAGATCATGAATGAAATCAAATACTTTTCAAAGAAAAGTAAAACCATTGTGAAAAGTTTTGCATTTTTATTCTTTAATGTGAAATATTACAGTTTTCTTAACAGATCTGCATATAAATGAGTAAATTGGATAGGATTTGGCAGTCTTTTTTAAAAAAAAAAAAATAAAAAAAAAATAAGAGGTACTAAGATGTAATCACAAAGAAAACAAGGACTTTACAAATTAGCCCTATTCCTCCATATTCTCCAAGTGAGTAATCATTGAAAGCCAAAGCCTTGGTCCATCATGACGCAAACGGCATTACTTTGTCGGATAATAATTCATGTCAGACTACAACTCTAGAATAAATATGGGCATTACAGTCCAACAATACATTCTTGTATTATTCACCAAAGTATCTTCTCCGTTCCCTTCCCATAAACTGTACACCACTGTTGTATAATTAATTGACAGACAAACCTGATCCTCTTTAAACATTGGAAAAAACAGTCTCTCCAAAGGTAACAAGCAATTAATTGTAAGGACAAACATGACCAAGTTTAATATTCTAAGTTCTAACTTTCTAACTATAATGATATTATCCCACTATGTACTCCCCACCCCACTTAATTCTTAATATTCTTATTTTCTTACACCTGAAACACAAGTTCTAGATCTAAAAGTTGTAGCTCTCTCCAATCCCCTCCCCGAGTCTTTCATTGGAGCCATTGTCCACCAAATCTACATGTTTTTTACCCATGATAGTTAGTTGTCAATCAATTTTCCCCTCACATGAGTCACATCATTAACGTCACAGTGAATGATAGCCTTGCTACCTTCTTTACCTACATAACTACTTTCTTCCCTCAGCCATCCATTATTGTCATTCACGAGCAGGTTCCACATCCCTTCCCCTGTCTCTAATATATGTTTTACAGGAAAAGTATTTCATGAGAAAAATGAAGAATCCGACATAAATATCCATCATGTGTCCATGTCATGTCAATCAATATATGTATGCAAGGATAGATGTTGTGTAGCTTAGCATGAAATTGCTCCATGAGTTGCTCAACAATGGGAAAGTTTATAATATTGTCAATGAAGCACAAGTTAAAAGACCAATACTTCATAATTATTAGTAGCAATATCTTAAGAATCAGCATTCTAATTAATGATTATTCAATGCTACCTCAAGGAGATTCAAAAGACATGAAGCAGTAAGCTCGCAAGAAAAAATAAAATAAATAATATACAATAATCAGAAGGCCACAAAAGATAACCACTAAATTAACAAAAGTAAAACCATACTACACCAATTAACTAGTATATCTATTAAGCATTCCACCTAAGGAAAAGTACAGAAGCTTAAAGGGGCAAAGCCCTTGAACAATAAGGTCACTGACTAAAAACCAATTCACAGAGAAAAAAAAAAAAGGGCATAGCTATCATAGCATGAATTTTGCAAAACACAAATTCATAGACTGATGATCCTCTTACAAAATTAATTCTAAGGAGCTCAATGAAGTGAGCAAGAATACAATACCTCTACAATTCTCCCTTTTGGAAGACCTCCACCAAGAGCAAAGTCCAATGTCAAGCACCCACTTGGAAAGGTTTCACTTCATAGAATAAAATAAAATTCAAGAAACGGCATTAATCAATCTCCTACCTAGATCTGGGATAATGAAGGAAACTGTAATACATAACTAAATTTCATTTATAGAAAGTATTGAGTCAGACTTCTTAGGTGGCCATCTTCACATCCATGGATTGTACTCCCTACTCTCATCAATCCACTTAAATAAAGGTCAAGACACAGCCATGGAGCCACCAATATGATTTTACAATGTAATAGAAAGTAGGAAATAAAACAGAGAAATACGTATACATACACCAAAGCTCCACCAGCACTGCCCAATCTTGTAACACTTCCTTTTCCAAAAGAGCTGTTTATGTCGTTCATTGCCACTTCTAATGCCTTTTGCTGAAAGTGAACACAACGCTATCTAACTAGAGATTGTATAAAAAGCCATAATTATTCTGTAAAACTAATGTAATATGACTGATGATTTTGTTATACGAAATATGGAAATATGCATATGATAATAAACAAGATCTACACTAGAGATTCATCACATCCTATCTAACATGTTTAGTAGACCTCAACCAAAAGATATGTGGAGAGCATAACTGCTATAATATTTCCAACTTTACCTAAGCAAAATTCATGGAGTAAATTACTTTGAAAACTAAAATGCAATCAAAACCAGGGCAATTCAGCGAATTACATGAGGTTTACAGCCTTTTGATATAGATACAAAATACCTAACAATGTAATATGATTGGATATTGACACTAGCATCAGACTGGAGAATGTATACAAGAGTTTGACATGGGAATTTCCTTAACTAAAAGATAAAAAGATAGTTTTAAGAGCAAATTTGAAATCTGGACAATATGGCTGGGATACTTTGATATACATGTATAAGTAGAGTATAAATTTTCCTGTTTTACACAAAATTCAAAGCATCCAAATGTTAGTAAGAGCTTAAAAATTGAGTAATGGGATATAAGGAGCTGCACTTTTCAACAAGAGTACACACCAAAGGTATGAACATGATAAACAACAGCAATTTAATGGAAAATCAGACAGTGGACCAACTTATATGTGGATTTCTCAGAACAACTTTTGACAAAAGCTTGATGATTCACTAGGCACCATGTACGAGACAAGAGAGACATATAAGATGCAATAATAGACCACCTTAAAACTAAACAACTGAAAAGTAAGGCTACACAATAGATGACTGATAAAAAGTCAAACCATGAAGGCACATAACCTAGAGAAATTTGCTTGCTATTTACTCCGTCTTATGTTAAGTGTCTAATACAGAAAGTTGACTAAAATGAAAAACCTGAGCTAATAAAACTGAAGTAATGGGATAAAAGGAGTTGTGCTTTCTAACATAAGTACACACCACAATCAAATGACCATGGTAATCTAATGCAATTCAATAATAAATCAACCAATGGACCTACTAAAAGGCGGATTGCTTGGAACAATTGTTGAGTCAATAATCAACTTGGCACCACGCACTAGACAAGAGGGGCATCGAAGACGCAATCATAAACCACCTTCAGACTAAGTAACCAAAATGGTAGCACTATGTTTAGACAGGAATATTTGGAGTGTAAGGGAGGAAAGGGAAAGTGAGGGAATAATTTCCTTATTTGAATAAGACATAGGGCAAGGGGAGGGAAAGGAAATGGAGCGATCCATTCTCCTTCCCAATTTAAACCAAATCCCTCCATTGTTGGAAAGATTTAGAAGGAAAATGGAAGGTTACTTTTTCCCTCCCCTCCCATCCCTTTCTCTTTCCTCCTTTTCCTTCCCCTCCCTTTCCCTTAAGAATTATCATCCAAACATGGTGTAAATGCTAGAAAATATATCACTGGAATGAAAAATATAGAAACCTAGTCATATAACATCAAACCATAAGGGTCTAATACCCGCAAAGAATGTTGCTTAATGGCCATACCAAACAGTTCCTTAACTCGATATCCACCAACAGGAACACTTTGTTTGGATAGCAAGATAGGAGGGGGGAAAGCAAGGGGAAGGGGAAGATGGAGTTCATTTAGGTTATAGAAGAGGGAAGGGAAATGGTTCCCTCCCTCTCCCTCCTCTTATTTCCCCTGACCTCTTATTCAAAAAAGGGAACTTGTTCCCCTCTCTTTCTTTTCATTTCCTTAAACCAAAATCAAAGTGGAACATGATATTCATTATAGCACAAATTATGATTGCTAGGAACTAAATGCCAAGATTGCCAACATCACACGACATTCAATGCATTAAGAACAATAACAAATAGTCATATTCATTCTGGCACAAATTATATCACTTGCAAAACAAAATCACATCTTAATTTCACAGCACACACCATAAGCCAAAAGAGTTTTTTAGCTTAAACCCAAGAAAAATAAATTACTCATATTAACAAGCTCCAAAACATAAAACCCACAATTACAACTTTACAGAAAACTCTATGCATAATACATAACCCTCAATGAAGAATGGGAAAATTTTGAACTTCCATTGAAATTCCATAATTTTCCCAAAAAACCCAATTATCCAAAAAGATGAAATGCAGAAAAAAGTAGAAGGGAAAAGAAGCATACACGATCGATGAAACGAGGGTCATTATCACCAGAAAGAGCACCATTTAATTTGCCATTAAGTTCAGAAAAAACCCTGAAATTTTTTACAGCAGATTGTACAGAAAAACGTTGGGTATAGAATTGAGTTTTATGAAGAGTTGATGGATTTAATATTCTAGGAAAACATTGCAGAGTTGGTCGCAGCTTCAACAAATCCATTGAAGGATGGAAGTAAGCCGAGGAGGGAAGTTGAGGCAATGGAAAATTTTCAAGCAAGCTTACGCATATTGCCTTTGCCTAGTGTGCGGTGTGCCTACAAGATTTGTTAAACATCGCCCGCAAATTTTCATATAAAGCCCACAAACTAGACTTGGTATGACAATTATGCCCATTTTTTAAAATTGAACAAATCTCGATCTAAAAAATGTGGAGCCGTACTGGCTCGTTGGGGGAGACCGGAGGGCAGGCCGGAGATGCGGGGGACGTCGGAGGTACGTCGTCGTCGACGGAAAACGAGGTAAAGCACCGTTAAAATTCACGGTGTACGTAACGGCATCTGAAAGAGGTGGTCGTGCAGTGGTGTCGGCGCCCAGGTTGGAAGCCACTACCGTAGCATGGACGTCCAAGCCAGACGCCACAACCACCGCACTAGCGTCCAGCCCAGACGCCACAACCAGCAAGCAGGCGTCCTGGCAGGCGCCAGGCCAGTGGATGTGGCGGCCCTGCCAGGCGCCAGGTCCGTGGCTCTGGTGTTTCTGCCAAACGCCGCCCCTGGTGTTTAATTTTTTTTTTTATTTTTTTTTTTTGTTGTTGTTTTTTTAAAAAAAAAATTGAAAAATCGAAATTGTATTAAAAAAAATTCAAAATTGTTTTAAATTTGAAAATTCGAAATGGTTTTTTTTAAAATTAAGTATGAAAATTCGAAATGGTTTTTTTAAAAATTAAGTTTGAAAATTCGAAATGGTTTTTTTAAAAATTAAGTTTGAAAATTCGAAATGGTTTTTTTTTAAATTAAGTTTGAAAATTCAAAATTGTATTAAAAAAAAATTGGAAATGGTGTTTTTTTTATTTTATTTTTTTTATTTAAAATTGAAAATTCAAAACGGTTTATTTTTTTAATTAAGTTTAATAATTTAATGTTTTTATTTATGATGTGATTAGATTTGTGTTAATGTATATTATTATGCTTTAATTGTTTATGTGTATGAATACTTTTATAAATGATTTTGTTTTAAATTTTTATGTGTATGAATAATATTATACATAATTATGTTTTTAATTTTGTGTTAATTCGTGTAAATATAGAAATTAAATGTATTATCCGTTAAATGTAGAAATGAAATTTACAAATTAAAAATGTAGATATTAATTATGTGTTAATGTTGTGTTAAATGTATTAATTTAAGCTTGAATAAATATTTATTATAATATATAATTGATGCAGGATTATGGTTGAGACGGAAATGATTACAGTGGGATATTTGGACATGATGGTCCATTCGAAGATGCTCAACAAGCGATTGATTGGGCAAAACAGGTTGCAATTACAGCTGGATTTTGCTTGGTAGTAGTAACTCGTAAATCTCAACGGGATGGTAGAATGGATCGCATTTTGAGATGCGACCGTTATCGCAAAAAAAGAAAAAAGAGATTTCCGTACAGCCACTCGGTTTGATACAAAGCGGAAAGGTTGTGGGTGTGAGTTCAGAGTAAAGGTTCGACAACTACAGAGTCGTGACGGTTGGGAAGTGATTGGTTACTCTAAATGGGGGTATCACAACCATGAGATGATAGTATATGAAGAGGGTCATCGACAGCTGAGCGGCTTAAGTCCTGCTGCGAAACTAGTTGTGAAAGAAATGAGTGATGCTCAAGTCAAGCCTGCTAAAATATTAGCATCTGTGTTAGAGAAATTTCCAGAAGACCATCCAAACCGAAGACACATCTACAACGTCAGACAGCAACTCAGGTTTGAACGGTCAGAGGGAAGGAACCCTACACAGCAGCTGCTACACTAGGCACAATCACGTGGTTACCTGTTCTGGTTTGATTTTGATGAAGATACAGCGGAGGTGACTCATCTCTTCCTTGTGCATCCTGATTGTGCTGATATGATCAAGTCTTGTCCATTTGTGATTTTGATCGACTCAACGTACAAGATAAAAAAGTACAAGTTCCCACTGGTTGAGATCATGGGGATGACTCCAACGAACCAGAACTTTCTGATTGGTCATGCAATCATCAAGGATGAGACGGCTCCAAGTTATTATTGGGTCTTGGAGAAGCTGAGAAACTACATCGGGCCTAATGTTCATCCAACAGCCATCGTCAGTGACTGTGAGGGAGGTCTCTTCGCCCCCATTAGGGAGTTGTTTCCAGTGTCGAAGCACTTGTTGTGCACATCGCACATCAACAACTACGTGAAAATGAAAGCCTACAACTTTTTCAACAAGAATTTGGAAATGGCAGAGAGATTGGTGAATGGTAAGTGGTGGAAGATCCTATAAGCTACCACAGAGGCAGTGTACGAGCGAGAATTGGCTAACTTCAGGGATTCGTACCAGTGGTGTCCGACACTGGTAGACTATGTGATGCAGCAATGGGTCCCTCACAGGGAAAAGTTTGTCAAATATTGGACAAACCAAGTACTTCATTTCGGGAACACTACAACATGTAGAGTTGAGAGCGCTCATAGAGCTACCAAGGACTGGATTGATTCTTCCACCGCTGCTTTGGATACACTGTTCGATAGACTAAACAAGTCAATTGAAACTCAGAAGAACGGTATCATGAACTCTCTAGAGGACTCCAGACGACGACATGGTACGATATATAGCCATTTCATATTTAAGATTCTCCATGGTCGTGTGTCACACTATTGCTTGGGGTTGATTCTGACTGAGCTCAACAGGATGAGGGACTTGGCTGATGAAGTGTATGTTCGGTGCGGGTGTGCTATTTCAGTAACTCATGGATTACCTTGCGCATGCACCATTCACCGTGTTATTACAGAAGAAAGGGCGTCGTTACATGCAGATCAGGTTCATTCATTCTGGCGGACGCTCGTTACTGGTGAGCATGCAGATACTCAAACGGTCGACCATGAACAGGAGGAGTTGGAGCAGTTTCGTTCGATGTATGACCGAGTGTCCTCCAGTCATCCTTTTATTATTTGTGACGCTACTCATGTACTTCATGACATGTTCAACACGTCTTGCTTAGATTATGAGGAACCCGAAGGGGTTGAGCGTCCTCAAGGTCACCAACGGCGGAACAGGAGTGCGTTTGAGTACATTCGTGGTCTTGTTCGTGGTCGTGGTCGTGGTCGGACATCGTCATCTAGTCGTAGTCAGTCTTCTTCGTCTGTGAATATGCCCCTGAGAACTGGTACGGTTGCTTACTTTAATTTACATTGTACATTGTTTTTTAGGTTACTTCTGCCTTGTTAACTGTGTTTAATTATATGGTGAATAGGAAGAAACGATATTGATCAGTTTCCGTACAAGGACAGGATACCTAACATCATCATGTTGTACTTGGAAGGGTGGAATGATGTAGTCGGAGATGGTAACTGCGGATTCCGGGTCGTGGCTGATGTTTTTCAAATGGACGAAGACAACTACGGTTTGGTGCGTCAGTTGATGTACAGCGAAATTGCCTCTAACCGAGATGTTTATCGTCATGTGTACCAGGATGACTTGGATAGCGCTCTGCGGCGTATCCGGTGGGGAGGTGGACCTTGCGGTCAAAATCATTATTTTGACGCGCCCCTAGATCTGTTTGCCGTTGCAAAAATTTACAAGTGTACAGTCATGCATTTTGGGCTGGGATTGCATAGTCGAGCTTATTATCCTTGTACCACGGTTCTCCCTTGGTGTTCACGTGAGATTGTCACTACACCGGTCAGAGAGGTAGCTATTGCGTTTCTTGGGTCGTCATACAGACATTTCATCCGACTAGACATGTCATCCGATTTTCCTGTGCCACCGATTATACCTCGGTGGTACACCATTCGCACAGCGAGCGTAAAGGGTTGGGATGCGCTATATCATGACCGGATCCACGAATGGATCACCCTAGCTGCCTTTTAGTTTTTCATGTTTACATTGTTTCTATGTAACCTTATTTTTACGTTGCTATTTTAATGAGAACATTAATTTTTGATATTGTATTGCTTACTACATTTATATGTTGCATAGGTAAGTTGCGCGGATCCACGAAAGGTAATGTCAAAATTTAAAAACAGCAATGATAATATGTCAAAGTTGAAAGCTAAAACAATAATCTAAAATGTTACAACCTTAAAACATAATGTCCAATTTAATAAACTAAAATGATAATATTTAAAATGCTCTACAAATAAAATGCCAAAACCATCAGTAATCCCTCTTGGACGCCGATTCCCAATGCGCAAGGGTCTGTTCCAAACTATCAACAGCAGCTCTCACTGTTGTACTCATGCTGTCCTTCTCCACAGAGAGTTTCTGTACGTCTTGCATTATCTTTTCCATCCACTACATACAACAAAAAATAAAACAGTAAGTCTCTGTTACTCATTGTGAGAAACGTTTTTGTTTCTCACAGTGGCAGTTTTGTAAATAAAATGTACCATCGTGACTAAAGTGGTACAATTTTATCATCCATTTCGTAAATAAAATGTACCACCGTGACTAAAGTGGTACGTTTTATTTACAAAACTGCCACTGTGAGAAACAAAAACGTTTCTCACAGTGTGTAATGGGAGCGCCCTCAACATGAAATACAATAACAACATATAAAATTTAATTAAAAAAACAACGATAAATGTTTTATGAGACATACCGCTTCCACAGCAGTAGGCGGTGGCATATAATCAGCATCGCTGTGGTCGAGGTCTGCAATCAACCTCGGGTGCGAATACCGGTTGAACCATTCCATGTAGTAGTGGTCACACATGGGAGAAACCCTAGATGGCGGCCTCTGCAACTCCGCAGTCCATAAGCGGGCAACCATCGGAAACTGGTCCCACGTCCCAGTCATGATATCTGGCCAATGCACGACGTAGTCCTTCGACGATGCAGATCGGACCGCCTTCATCGGGCATGCCGGGGGAGGAGGGACAACTTGGACAAATCCAAGCTGGCGAAGACAACGCTGGGGCATGTACGCCTCCACGATCTCACGATACTGAATGAGCCCCGTGTACAGGGTCCTGGGTACCCTAATACTAGGGTTCGGGCTGAAAGGCATCCAGCTCACCTGCACATAATTTTAAAATTTAGTAACATGAATATAATAAATGCATATAATAAATTGTAGAAATAATTTATAAACTTTACCT